TGTGCTGGAATTTTTTTTTGTTTTTAGGCACGACGATTGGAGGAGAAGAGAGGGGGAGTGGGAACTTTTTTCGATCGCGGTTTTATACGATTTTATGATCGAGCTCACTTTGCGTCGGTATGTCGCTTTTTCTCCCGAACTCGAGTATACGGGCGCCCGGGGTTTTTCTGCCAGCATCCTAGCAGCATCTTACAATTTTCTTAGTTAAATAATAATCGACATCCACGCACGCACACACACACCACAGCGCGCACACACACACACACACACACACACACACAGCAATACACACATACAACAACACACGCCCCCACAATACAACGCCCCCCCCCACACACACACACGCCACGCACGCCACGGCCCACCGAACCACCAACACAACACATGCCCCGACACACGCACACACACACACACACACACACACACACACACACACACACACACACACACCACGTACACACACACGCACACACACGCACACAGACACACACGCGCGCACACGCACAGACACACGCACACGCGCGCACACACACACACAAACACGCGCGCGCACACACATGCGCCCGCTGTGTTAGCAAGCTTCGGAGACGAATCACTCGCTTTTAGTGCCTGCATGGCTCGCGTTTGATAATTCCGCATACGGTACCAAATCACGTAAAGATAGCAATATACTGTTCATATTAGTTGTAATGGTCTATAATCACTCCTCTCTGATACATTGAGGCAGGAAAGTGTTCACTTAAGAGAGGAATTGTTGTGATCAGAAATCTACCCTGTAAATGTATTTAGAATGCATGGGCTGATATGTCTCCTCGGGAATTCTAATTGATTTCTTTCGCAATTTTGTTTTTAACTTTTTTTAAATTTCAATTTGTTACCCGCAATATTCCTAAGAAATCCTGTAAATACCATAGGAACCCCCTTTCCACTCATCACATGATACCCACTCCTTCGTTTATAGTAACAACACCTCATCATTTGCTTCTAACACGGCCATGGCCGTAGGCTGAGCAAATTCCTAGGGGGGTAGTGGCGGATCCAGGATTTCAAGGAGGGGGTGAGAAACAGGTGGGAATGTGGGTGTCCTCCCACAGAACATTTTGAAAATGTAGATCGCAGGAGATGGTATTTGAGGCACGTTTAAGTACATGTACAGCCTTCATTCTAACTACGACAATTCTTTTTTAAATTTTGCTCCAAAATCTAGGGGCTGCTCCCATGCCCCCCGCAGGCTACGGCCCTAACGTCTGCCGGGTTCTCTCACAAGTTCACAGTTGACCTTCTCTCCGGAAACCGCCTGTCCGCGCCAAATACCTACGGGGCATGAACCTTGTTTGTCTGTTTCTGCGTAATAAGACATGCGCTAGGGCGTGGCACTGCATATAGCTATCAGTATCAAAACACGGGGCACGCTGTTACCTCGGCTGTGCTGCTCTCTCCATCGGCTCCCGTCGGGGTTTTATACAGCGTAATATATTATAATATATAAATTTAATAAATTATACAACGTAATGCGGTTTATGATAATATGAGAGGGGAGGGAAGGCAGCAGAGGTATGCGCACGCCTCTTTTGTACGTAACTGCAATACACAATTAGTAAATTTGAAGGTAAATGCGCATGGCTTAAAATATATGCCCTCAGGTGCTTAGTAGCGACATACACACAGGTATGATAAACACAATCAACTTGTAGAAAGCACGACTGCTGGAGCGTATAGTTGATAGTTAAAAGGTCATATTTATTCAAGGCGCTATATAAGAGGCGAACCATCATTTAGCTTACACATCTCGCCAGATAATTATTGT